TAATTTTTTTCCAATTTTTTCAAAAGGAGTATAAACAAAGAATTATTGAATTGGATTAATTAAGCAAAATGTATGCAAGAATTGAAATCATCAAGTATAAAAACTTCATGTCTACTTTAACCTTTGAAAATATATACCATGAATCAATGGAACGGTTGACTTCAATTGCAAGTGTGTGTGGAATAGATGATAATGAACAATGGTGTAAAATAACAAACTACAAAATAATCATAAGATCTTTCGACCAATTCAAGACAAAATTAATGATATTTATCTTCGATATCTTGACATGCTAGATGTGTAAAATGTAAAAATTGCGACATGATGAAAATAGCAATATCGTCACAATACTTTCTTGCTGATTGCTTTTTATAAATTCAAGTTGATCCCACCAAAATAAACCATTGTATGTCTCCAATAGTTTTGCCATCATGTCATCAAGTCTCCACAATGTTGATAATGTTTGTCATCTCCCAAATCTAAACAACATTCATATATTTTGTTGTAAAATAGACTCGTATAATCCACGTCAACATACTCAATTTTTAGTATTGATAGATTTATGTTTGTCTTTTATGTTTGATAACAATTCCTTAAACATCATACAAATAAGCCACAATACTTTCTTGCTCATTGTTTTTTATAAATCTAGTTGATCCCATCAAAATAAACCATCGTATGTCTCCAATAGTTTTGCCATCATGTTTTCAAGTCTCCACAATGTTGATAATGTCTGTCATCTCCCAAATTAGAACAACATTCATATATTTTATTGTAGAATAGACTCTTGTAATACACGTCAACATACTCAATTTTTTGTATTGATAGATTTATGATTGACTTTTATGTTTGATAACAATCTCTTAAACATCATACAAATAAGCAATAAAATTTGCTTCTTGGATGTCTTTGATTTTTGTAACTTACTTTCTTTTTGTTTCAACTTGTAGAGCTATAACATCAGATGCAATCATCAACTACTTACTTTGAAGATAAATTTAAATTATTAAGGTTATTTTCAAATGACCTTAATACTCATGTCAATATCACATTGAGCTTGATCAGAAAATTTAACTATAATAACATGAGATTGTGTTCTTGATTTTTCAATATAGATAATTTCAACCAAATTTGAAATATGTACAAAATGTTTCAATAAAATACTTGATAACAACACTTTCTATCTCTTTATTTTCTATTTAGACAATTCTAAAAAGTATAGCATGGCTTACATCATAAGTTATATTATAATTAAATTATTAATAACAATTATATCTTCTATATTATTTTTATTGCATTTTTGAATTAATCTATAAAATTGAAGCATGTAAACTAGATAAGTGTGAAACAAATTAAAAAATTGAAAAAATGAGTCAATTAAATTAAATTATGTATTACAAATGTTTGATTTAGTTTTGTATTGATAAATACAAAAATAATTCAGAATATGAAAATTTTTTTCTTATTATTTTTTAAATAACTTTAAATTACATTTTAATAATAATTTTTTATTTCATGACACTTCCAAGAAAAAAAAACTTAAATTTTTCTCATTTGTTATTTTAAAAATATATACAATTATTTAATCCAAATTTTTTTCTTTGAATTTTGATTGAATGTTTAGTTTAAATTTATTCATTAGAAATTTGGCTATAGATTTTTAGATTTTTCAAATAGAGAAAGGTTTATAATTTAAATTTAATATAATTATCTAGAATTAAGATGAAAATTTTAAACAACTTGTAATGAGAAAATATTTATAAATGAAGAAGAAAAATTTAAAAAATATTATTTTTCAGTAACAGTTTCTTTTCATTTTAAATAAAAAATCTTGTATGTAGTTGATATTGAGTATTTGAGAAAAAATAAATTTTCTTCCTTAAAAGATACTATAAAATATAATTCTATTTTCAAATACAGCACAAATTTATATGAAATATAATATTACTGAAATTAATTTTATAGAATATTTATTTCCATAAAATCTGAACAATTAAATTTTTGAAATTTTGAATAGTGTATGATATTTCAAATCATTTATATTGCTTATTTGTATTATAAAAATATTTCTTTATCATGATTTCAAGAAATTTCAGTTTATTAATAAAATATTTAAGTTATTGGTATTTAAATTGACTTAATTACAAAAATAATCAAAAATCTATTTTTCTATTTTCAAATACTTTTTTTCTTGAGAGAGATATATATATATATATATATAATTTAATCTTTTCCTTTGTATGCCTGATTATCAATATTTTATAAAAAAATTATTGAATACCTATTGTCATGTTTACTATCTTTTATTATATTTTACAAAAATCAATGCATTAAGGCATGATATTGAAGATAAGTATTCATGTATATATCTTTAATTCTTCAAAAGTTGTAGTATAAACTTGCGTAAAATATTTTCGAAAATTATGAACAAATACTTAAATTTTTAATCAAGAATTTACATTCAAAGCCTTGGATTGTTGATAAAATGTAATTTAAGAAATTATTATTTTATATATTGGTTTCTGAAATTCAATTTTGTAAGCAAAAATTAGGTTTATTTAAATTATAAAAAGAATTATTGCATGAACAAATGTATGCATTTATTATCTTTATTTATTTTTATTAAAATTTATATGATGCAAATATTGTATGTTTGCAAAATAGAAAAATATAGATTCATGTGATTATTGTAAACATGTTAAAAAAGATTTTTTAAGAATAATGTGAGAAATATAATATTTATTGTTACATTGTAAATTATCTTACGTGTTTGATATAATTTGTATTATATCACATGAATGAATTATACACTAAAAAGTTATAAGTTGCATACTTGCATATCATTTTGGCATAGACAAGAAGATTGGAATATCATTTGAACTACTAATTAATACATTTATCACTTGTGTTAGGTTTGATGTCATTATACTTTGAATGAAGCAAAGTCATATGACATGAAATTATGTATCAAAGTATAACAGAAATCATCATGTGTGACATTTACATAGCATAATAATATGTAAATATTTCTTTGAATTGTTTTTAACATCTTCATTACTCACATGTTTCAAATATGAGAATGAATGATAATGTATTTGATAAAAAAAATGAGCATCTAAAATTTGCCCAAATAGTATGACTTTCATGATGCCATTATATATGTGATTTTTTATTTGTCACAGGTTTTATTTCATTCTAAGAGTAGAATGATTTAAATTGAGTTGTTTTATGAGGAGAATACTTCATGCAAATAGTGTTGTTGTCATGATTTCTGTCTTCCATTAATTAACATTTTGTAATTTTTAATTATTGATTAATAATTGACATACTTTATCAAGAAAATATCATTCATGATCATGTATGTGATTACCATACATAGAAATTACAGTAAAAATGATTTTTTAATATTGAAGTATATAGAAAACTTAAATATTGGTGCATAGAGCTTTAAGCTTACAACGTACAAGATATATTATAACATACAAGATTATAAGATTCATTTTTACAATTATGGAGAGAGTGAAGACTATCATGCATATGACATGAATATCATATTTTTAAAGATATAACATAATCTAGATGATATGTAGCAATGGCTGTACATAGATGATTAGAATATGCAATATATAGAGTAACAATCACAAATACTGATGTTTTTTTCATATGTCATACATTATAAAAACTTATGGATATGATGGGAGCCATAACATCTATGTTACAACCAATGTTATTGAAAAATCATCTACCTTTGATCATTGTAAATGTACTATAGCTCTTTTTGATTAAAATAATTAGAAATATATTTTTTCAAAACATGATGATTTGTAATTGTGACAGTTATGGGCATAATTTTCTATATTATGATATAGTACATAGGCCACATGAGTTTGTTCAAAATGTTTTACATCAATGTACCTCGTGTGGTAACGCCTCCACCCTTATTTGGTATTATCGTTTAATAATTTCATAACCAAACCATATATTGCCATTGACTTTCCTCCTGGTTTCAATTGCATTTTTACACCATGCTCTCCTGAATTATCTGTTTATGTAACAATAATAAATTGCGGAATCAGTGGCGAAGTAGTTGAACAAATGAATGGGAAGATTCCGTGTAGGCATGGACAGAAGCCGGTGAGAATGGCAAGCCTCGATTGTATTACAACGTAAACATTAATTATCGCCACATGAGGTGGGAGTTCATGGCAATCTTCCAGTGATCGAAATGTTTTGTCCATATGGGATATCTTAAGTGGCTGTTGTCCTTTGAAAACCAGGACAAGTCATAATGTTCTTGTTCATCGCACACCAAGTAAGACATTTAATCACTCAGTTCGCGCAAAATTGGGTTAGGTTTCGGCCGCAAGTCTACTGGAATAGTACTTAATTGCATAATATCTATGTGTGTCACTATCTGATTGAAATATTGTCACAAATTGAAATATACAATACATCGTATCGATGTTTAGATTTTCTAAATTACTAAGAGAAAATTTAAATATCGATTTTCTCTTTGTTGCGTTATTTTCTCGCTACAAGTTGTTATTAAATGTTCCTGCAGGGTCCCTTGTATCTTACCCAGAGAAACACAACACCAGCTCTAGGATGGTGGATGTGACTCTGAAACAAAAATGCACGGCGTATGTGTTTGTGACGCAGTTGGTGGTTCTGCTATGAAGCAAACCACAGTACGCTGGCAGGTGGCTGATTCGCTCACTGGGAGGTCCAGAGTCCACCGTCATTACTTGACTAACTAGCGGAACCAATAATTGAAAGCAGCTGCCGTTGTTCCTGCTAAATCAAACCGCAAACGGCCTCCAATGGCTCAATATAACCATCACTGCGGTTCATATAAGCAGCGCGAGTCTGGACTGGAACTACATCCGCTAGTTTCGCGCATGCGATAGTGTGCTGGCACTGACATGTGTGCACGCCACGTAAAGAGCAGAGCAAGCAGGACAGGCCAGGCCAGTTCGGAAAGAGGCCAGCGCGGCGGCCAGCGACAACCAGGCAGGAGGCCCGCAGGAAGGAGCGTCTAGAGTGAGCGAGAGAAGACTTTGAGGTGCTGGATTCCCTCTGCGTTTGTGTAGAGGCAGAGAGCGAGTGCACATTCTGCCCCCCAACCCACCGCTGGTTCTGCGTTCGGCGCCCTCAGATCTCGAATTCTGCACACATCGTCGAGGTTGAGCAAGCAGCAATAAGGGCGTCGTGAGTATGGTTTGGTGAACTGAGAGGTCGATGTGTTTAGTTTCGTCGAGGAAGTGACAAGAACGACAGAGGAGGTAGTGTGAGGATTCGAGGGCGTGTTGATGTGATTTGAGGCGGACGGCAAAGAGGACATACAGGAACGGGAAGGGATTCACAAGAGGAGCGTGTGATTGAAGGGTAGCGAGGATGGCCACCGCGGGAACGAATCAGAGGCAAGCGAAACTTGTAAGTCTCTCGTGTGGGCGCTTCCGCTTGGCTGTTCTAGGGTAATTCGTTACCTAGGTCGGTGTTTGTTGATGATCTGCGTGTTGTCTTCCTCTCTTGCTGAACATGAGGACCGCACAAGCCTGCTGAAGGTTTTGAGTCTCAAGGAAGGGTTCAATTGTGGGAATCCTCCTTTTGTCATGAACCTATTGCCGTTCTGGTTGCAGCGAGCATAACTGTGCACCTGTAAATGACTGTCTTACCCTGACTACGTGCACATCCTGAATCATGAAAGCATGTGCACCTTAGTTCCCCTCACTATATATTCGAGATCGTCCAACCCTTGGCACCTGTTCCAGTGTGGTTTCCCTTTTTTTATCCTTTCAGTAACACAAACCATCTTTTCAGCTTCTGCACAGACCACGAAAGATAGCATTGAAGTTTATGCTGCCTGATCAAAGCCGTTTTTTCTCCAGATAGATAAATTATAGAACATACTCCCTTTTCTCGTCAACTTTAACCTTCGAGGACATCATTGTTCAAAGGGCACCGGCAGTGAATCTTCAGAGGATTCGTGTCGTCGTCGAAGGTGTCTATGTGGGGTGCTCTCTAATGCGATTTGAATTTCATGATAGAGTTGCTGAGAGGTGGACTTCAATCCGTTGATTGAAGTCCATCTCATTCTTTAGCAGCCTCACAAAGCTTTGAGGTTTTATGCATCTTACTTTCCTCTTTCTGAATTTGAAGATCAAGTTGTAGCCCACCTGACGCATGCTTAGTTAAGAGTACCATGACTTCATTAAGGCAGCTTAGGGTTTTGGAGTCACTTTCAAGCACGTCAATAAATCTTCATGCGGGTTTTCCTTGTTTGACTGTGAACTCGTGCACGACTAAGGTTTTCGTTGTCTAACAAATATGTCTTCAATGAGCAGGTGCTACTGGGTGATATGGGTGCCGGAAAGTCCAGTCTTGTATTGCGTTTCACCAAAGGCCAGTTTTTTGACTATCAGGTTCAAACTTTTTCTCTCTCCTACTGTTTTCTTACAGTTGGCCGTTCTTCAAAATTTCGCGACTCGCTGTCCAGTATATAATCGGTGAAGCCTCTGCAGTTGCCCTATTGTTCTTCTTGGTCTTGTATTTCATGAAGATTGAGTTCGAGAAGGGTAATATTCGGTCATATACTTCTGACAGAAAATATTTAGAGGAATCAATCAAGATTGTAACTTCAAAGCCTGAACTCTGGCGAAATTGGCTGCAGGAATCCACCATTGGAGCAGCATTCTTGACACAAACCTTGTCAGTCAATGACACGACTATCAAGTTTGAAATTTGGGACACTGCAGGCCAAGAGAGGTATCACAGCCTAGCCCCAATGTACTACCGAGGAGCTGCTGCCGCTATTATTGTGTATGATATCACAAATCCCGTGAGTACTTTTCACCTTCTTCTTAGCCTCTGCCGAAACGTAGAGTAACTTGCGATAACTTGAAAATATTGATTGATTCAATGAGTTTCTCCTGGAGTTGATCATTCACTAGTTTAGTGTTACCGTGAATCTCATCATGCTTCTATCAATCAACCAAGACATACAGCCTTTTCCGGGTTGAGGTACATTTCCTCGGCAAAGAGAGGTTTGGAAGTTATGGATCAAGCGAATATTTCAGTTCTACTCATTTTGGGTTTAGAACAACTTCGAGCTCCGAGTCTTTTATAAACCAAAGGATAACACTATATCATGCACAATCATTTTTTGCCGTCTAGCTATCGCCACATTGGTCGACAGGGACTTCGGACGCAGCTTCTTTTCCAAATTGTAGTTGTGCGTCTGTTGTTGGCTCTGAAGACCATATTTTCACTCGCTACTCTTTGGCCCTCACGTCTATCGTCTTCCGTCGTTCTTGTCATATGTCATGCTCTTACTACAAAAAACACCAAACACCTAGGTTGAGTCAAAAGTATGTTACACGAGCCTATGCTCCATCATACAGATCATAGAAAAGGTCAAGATCATTATCCTCGTATTGGTAATACACGTCGAGTGATCAAGTTCGAAGCTGCTTTGGCTTTCGGCTCTCTCCATGTTTCTACGTTCATCGTGTAGTGAGGCATACAAAACTGCCGGGAAGTAACCAATTGATTCTGGGGACTCGTTGTGCAGGATTCATTTACTCGAGCTAAAAAGTGGGTTCAAGAGCTACAAAGTCAAGGTAAGTTGTAGCCAGATTGTTCAAAATTTCGCATGTGATGTAGGTGGATATTCAGATTCAAGCATGCAACTTGGGAGTCCTGTCAATCTAGCTGTCTGTACGTTCTTCGATTTTAGAGCTTTTTGTTTGAGATCCAATTTATTCTCTTTAAGCTGTCACGTTACCACAGTCGTTACTTCTGTGTAACTTCTGCCACCGTTGTCCCATTCCCATTATGGGTAGTAGAATGTAAGTCCTCATTATTGTAGCTCTTTCTGAGCAGCACCATATGAAAATTTTAAACGCAGGAAGTTCAAGCTTGGTGATGGCGCTTGCCGGGAACAAGGCTGATTTAGAAGCGAAAAGGAGTACCAAACCTGAGGTGAATCCAGCTGATAACTGTCAAAATCTTTATTTGTCTATCTCCACTAACAACTGCATGACAAGGGTGGGATGCTGGCCACGAGAGGCATAGATCGGTTCGTATAAATGTTTTGAAGGTTTGTGTACCCGCGCTGACCTTTGCCAGTACACATCATTGTTGAAGTGAAGACGAGGGGCAGTATACAATATAACGTGGAAAAAACATACTTGCCTTGCTAGCTTCCTTGAACTACACTACTCCACTTGGGTCTGTCAGGAACTCCAGAAGTCAGACGCAAACAATTAGCCGGAAAATTGTATAGAAACAAACGGGACTGGTCTTTGATTCTTTCTTCCCATCTTTGATTGTATAACAGCACGTTGATTTGAGTTTTGATTGTATACTTGAAGTCTTAGTCGTCGAGCAATTTGTTTATGTACGTGGTAGGCAGACCATTTTAGAGGTGCATTGAGTCTTGCATTCCTCCAGGTCCACAAATACACTTTCATCTTCTTTTTTAGTGACTAGAGAGGAATCGTGCTGTTGTTGCAGTTAAGTTGTTTCCTTCTTTTCATATACCTCGCACCCACGTTTGTTAACCTCCACCAACCTCCACGTCGTTAATCATTCGGGTTTGCCAGATAGTACTATTCAGAATCATCTCCTAGACACAGACACCGTTTCTTCTTTGCCGTTTGCGTCTGTAAGCCTTTGCTAGCCAGTTCATAGTATATCCTCGTCTCCGATGTTTGACCTCTCTGACGCCATCCACATGCTAAAGCTATTTGCTTGATTTTCTGCTAATTGAAATGTCCATATCTTTCTGTCTGCACCCCACTGTCTGTTCGGTATAGTTTAGCTCTTGCGATTGAGCATTTTCTCTGTCTGAAGACATCTGAGCATTTCTTTTTATTTCACATTAAATCTCTTCATACCTATACAAATGTACAGACCATGGGGCTGTTAAAATATTACTGATCTATGTGTCTCATTTTGTGATTACACTCGATCTTCGTTGGGTTGCCTTCTTTTTGAATTAGTTTTAAAATACCAGGACGTAATGACTTTCACAGGAAGCTCAAGCTTATGCAGAGGAGAACGGGTTGTTTTTCATGGAAACATCAGCCAAGACATCTCAAAATGTGATGGAACTCTTTTATGAAATTGGTAAGTTTTAATGATCATCATCCGTCTTCTATTGGCATTGGGAAAAAACAGTCTAATTTGTAGTGGAGTTCGCACATCATGTACCATTGAGGTGACTGTAAACTCTGTTCTGCCGTCGATCTTGAGTATTAGCGCGTGCACGAATGGCACTTGAATAATCGTTTGAATACCACTTCTAGTACTTGTAGTTTTAGCGTTTCTCAGGCACAGAATTTTGTTGCTACGCTTAGAACTGATGCTCGTTATTCGTTCTTGGATACAGCCAAGAGGTTGCCAAAACTTCAACCAGCCGCACAGCCTGCAGGCATTTCGTTCTCAGAGCGCTCTGCACCACCGGCCTCCAAATCAAGCATGTGCTGCGTCTAGACTGCAAAGCTGCAAATGGTTGGCCTCCTGAAGTACCATGCGGTGTATGTGTCTGAGTAGGATTTCTTGTATGTCATTTCAGCCCGGAATGGATCTCACCGAGGATAGCGAAGAACAGTCTTAGAGTTCCCACGCTCCCAGCTTCTGTAATTATTAATTGATTGTAAACCGCTAGATGTCGGTACGGAAATCAGCAGTTATATCCAACTCAAGTTGCGTTTCTATCATCGGCTGTAATTAATTTCATTGAGAGCTAAAGCCGATATTGTTGCGAGGCTCTGCTGTATACTTCGTCTATCTTCAATCCGGAGGAAGGTTTCTTGTTTCGGAGGTGAAGGAAATGACCCTCGAAACATCTTGTAAAAAAATAAGTTTTTTGTCCATCCTTATATTTGAAGTACGTTTGGGAGTTATGAAAACTGTCTGGCCACGTTGCTGTGCCTTAAACTAATTTGAGTTTCATTGCGTTTATCTGAATATACTACTGCGTATCATGACGTGGCCTTCCATCTTTGTACATTCTAGGAAGTTGGCATTAGACTCTTTGTTTTTAGGCAATATAAGAAATATGATAACGGAGGTAGCACGCGATGATTTTTGCTCTTTTGTTCTTGAGCACTTTTCCACACTATTTGTCTTCGAAGGATAGAATGTTTTCGCGTGAATCTTGTGCAAAGGAGGTGCACACAGTTTTTAGGAAATTACATGGATTACCTCGTATCTAACTATTGCTGGGATTAAGTCTACGTTTCGAAAATAACATATTAATTCAGGCATGGAATCGATCTTGTGTATAGTTTCGGGGGATCATGGTCATGCGCCGAGCCTAGACTACATCGCGTCCATGTGACGTTGTTCTCTTCTATACATGACAAGCAGGGAGGAACCTCTTGCGTCTTTCATGCTACACCATGAATGGGGCCATCTACCCATGGCGACGCATGACCGGTATTTGGTCGAGTAGAGATCTTGTGGTATTCTCACAAACGCTAACTTACGTCTAAAGTGTCGCTCTGGGCCGTCAAAGTAAACCAACGAGTGAAGGGGCTGACGGAGTTCAGTCACATTCTCAGTGGACGAACGAGAAAACACGTGTTGGGTATAACGGAGTACACTCTCTGTATTTAATTGGGTCAATACCATGTTTGAATTCCTCCACATACGAAGTGGACTTGAAGGTACGAACAAGTAAATATGTTGGCCTAGAAAGGATAACACTGCGTATTAGTTTTGTATGTATGAACGACTCACCATTTGTCAGCGTAGTTCCAGTAACTAAATAGTCGAGCGAGAAATTTTTTCGTCTGGTAGATGAACGATGAAGTCTGAAAGCTAGCATCCCCGTCCTGATACTTGTCACCAGAGGTGTACCAAGCGATACTGTAGTTGAGGACATACATTGGTGTAACTTGCTACCCAGTGTCTATGGAGAGGCGAGAGAAAATTGTTTTGTTTGAAGCCAGGTCCGTTACTCGTAAGATGCCAGCTATATGCTGTACATCCGCATCCTCGAGAGTATTCAATGCTCATAAATTGGAGGAAAGTACTGTGCCTGCAAACCCTCGGTGTTTTTGTTTTTTAGTGAGGACTTATTCTCCTCCTCGAAACTTGTGCTTTTACAGGCTTTTGCCCCGCATTACCCCGCGGTGAGTTCACCCGGTACCTCGACCCTCTGTTGTTCTTTCGATCATCGAATGTCATTTATGGCTCGTCTAAATTTTTACATCTATTCTCAGTTCTGCTCAGAGAATTGGAAAGAAGCTGATGAGAACTTTAGCTGAGATGAGCGAAACTTTGTAGGGATGTCGCGAGGACAATTCTTCCAAATTCTTCAGGTCTCTGACTGGGTGCTCAATTTGTAACTGCAAAGTGCAAAGTTCTCAGTTTCTATCGGACTGGAAATAACTTTTTTATGTCTGGTGTCGTGGGAGTTCTAACATGTGAACCACTCACTTAATCTTGTGAGATATAATGCTTTAATACTTGATATTCTACAAGGATACAACCATCAACATTCCATTGAGAAGAATACACAAACAAACATTTATTAATCTCTTAAATCCCTCGCTGTCTAACTTTTTCCCACGTTTAGAGTTTATACCATTTTTCACATAGTTACTTTGCTCAGGATATCTTTGTGTTCTTCCTTTCTTGTCTTATCTATGAACGAGTTATATCTTGTCACATTGATAAATTTGTATGCTGCAATATAACGCAGGCCTACTAAATTCTGGCAAATGCCAGGTTTGCCAAAATCAAGGTAATTCTGGAATGTCTTTTTACTTAATTTTGGCATATTTGGCATCAACACTGTAATTTAATTATTTTTTCGTTCTTTATTTTTGAATTGCTTCGCATGTATCATACACGCCAAGGAAAGTCAAGTAAGGCTGGAGCGGGAGTCAAACTTCTCTCATTTGATCACGAGAAGTTGCTTTCAACCGATGTGGTATTTTGAAACGTTGAATGAATGAAAAAAATATGAAATGTACCTGGACCTTTATAATCTAGCCAAGAAAAGACTCACAATGATCAAAACAAACATGCTATTGTAATGCTATGAAAATAAAAAAGTGAAGGAAAAATATGAAATATACTTTCTACCTTCTATTACATTCAAGAAAATAGTTACAATGATCAAAACAAACTTGCTACAAAAATGAAATGAATATAGAAAATATATTGAAATGTGTGTGAACTTTAATTTTTCTATTTCTTTTCTTTCTTTTGTGTGCAATCTGCTCTCTACTTCTGATTATTTCTTTTACTTCTTCTATTTCTTTCATGCGCAACTTAGATCCACAATTCACTAGCAAATTCAAGCTCATTCACTCAAGGGTTATTTCGTGAAGACACAATCCTACACTAACTTAGTACTCCTGAATTTCCATTAGCATGGACAAAATATCATATGATGTATGGAATTTTGACGAGAATTTTGGCAAATTGGCCAGATTAATTTTGGCAATTCTGGCATCTAAAAATAAAATGCCAAATTTTTGAATTACTGATCTAACGTCTCAGAATATATCTTGGCTCCTTTTCTTATAATCTTTTAACTATTCATTACATATATATTTAGATACATAGAAATTTATAGAGGTTATGTATACTTGGTTTGGCATTGCACATTACATGTGATAGTATAATGAAAAAAATTATTATACATCTATTTGACGAGCAATAAATAAAACACCAGTAACAAAGGTTTGAAGATAAGGATAAAAAGGTAAGCCTAATGACCGATTAGTTAAAATGATATATATAATTCAAAATACACTAGTGAGTATCCTTACTTTCAATCAATCCCAAGGTTAATTGATAAAAACAACTCGTTGCACATATAGTTATATAAATGTGAAATTATGTGGAGATATTGGCGGATGATTATCTTGTAAAATGATAATAATTGTTCACCATAGAAATTTCAAATACTTGCGTGATACTCGATACTTGTGAACCAAAAAACCAATTTTTTGGTTCAATACATATATACTTATTTGAGTGTGCTGAAAGTATATTGTCACTTTCATCATATTCATCATTCACATCATAATCAGAAATCTACTATTAATCAAATACGTATTGACGTAAAGATATCACCACACTGTTACATGATTATATTATATTTACATTCGTATATCGAAGATTAAGGAATTATGGACAAACAAGACAGAAGCTAGATGTAGTTGGATTTCTCGACCCAATTACATCGGTTGAGAAACCCAACTTTCATCGATACATAATAAATCCAACTTCTACTCGTTTCAATACTTCCAAGAACAATTGTCCAAAGGATAAATGAATGATCCTTAATATTTTCATCAAATAAGACAATGTGAAGCATAGGAAATCCCTCATATCCCATCCTTAATTCCGGAAAGGAAGCGTCGTTGCAGAGGGGGCGCGGTTACGATTATAACTTAAAAATGAGGGACTTTACAAACTCCCAAAGACAAACTGCCCATGACCTGTTGTTGCATCGATGTGGAAATTAGAACAAGAATACAAAAATTCATCGAAGAAGACATTGGGACATCATGTTAGATTTTCGGAGTAAAAGATCTTAATGTACTTTGATAGTACATGTAAAGGAAATGGCCTATGTACATCAAGGAGAATTTCTCTGCTTTCTTACAAAATAATAATAACAATAGTAAAGAGGTATACAGTAGTGGGTTCACAACTACACACATATGCACACATGGCGTATTTGTATTTGGAGGTATAGGTGCGTTTGCATTGGTACATCGATAATAAATGTACAAAATCAACAAAGCTTTATGTTTGTGCCCGTAGTCACACACGCAACAATTCACGGTTCTGTAAATTTGTAACTACTGGGGCTTGCTCCTGGTGAGAATGATCCATTTTACTCTGAGTGGTTTTCCTTTACATGAATGGATCTCCCCGTTTGAACAAAAGAAATAAGACAATAGAACTTGAAGACTTTTTAACCTTTCCTTCTCATGCGAATATTCACATGAGAAGGATCCTTTTGCCGAACCCAAAATATCGGGTAACAAATGATGTAGATGTCTCGAGATGCAAAGTAGATATGCAATTATTATTGCACATTCCACAGTCAAAACCTGGAGGGTGAACATTATTTCCACGCAAAATTGTTTTCGAGCAGTTATACGCCGCATTAATAGGACAAAAGAGTTCAATGCATCCCTAAATATGCGGAAGAAAAACATCGCAGCGAAATAAAAAACAATCCAGAAGTGATATCGTACAGTTAAGGCCGGCATGGGCTCTTTCTCTCTCGAGGGTAAACATCACAAAGGCCATGCGCCGCGAAATGCGGCCGAACTCATGAGTCCACGTGGGCACTACAAGCCTCGTCGGCCAAATATTGACTGGCGAAAGGGAGGCCAAATTTAGGGTCCTGCTGGGTGCCAGGCCATGTAGCGACGTGCCTTCACAATTTCGGACAACAGTTGCTGGGATCCTTCATTCCAACGCTCTCGGTCCATTGACTTGACCGGCAAGACCCGCCGCAGTATGACCGCCCGTCGCAGTCCAAGGACGACTAATCGGCCCGGCCACGACACTGTTTGTCGTTGAACATTGAACACGAACGTTGAGCTCCTCCTGCTGCTGTCTGGCAAGCGCCTTTCCACCCTCAGATGGCTGCCTTTCCACCCTGGAACGCAGGGTATCGCCAAAACGAAAGCGATCGCGAAAGCGAAAGCCTGTAGCAGCAGGGTCGAAAGCGAAGACGAGAGACGGCGGCGATGACATACGGTCAGATGATACGAGCACAGGGAAGGGAAGGGAATGGAAGCAGCGATCGAGGGAGCGAAATGTCGGCGCAAGCTCAGACTCGAATCAAACCTCGAGGCGCAAAGGCACCATTAGATCAGCAGCAGCAGCAGCAAGAGCAGCTGAGCGAGCAGGCGTTTCACCGCTTCCCGAGAGCGGCGGTACGTACGGGGATCGGGATCTACAGCTCACCGGCCTCTGGGGCTCGACCTGCTTTGCGCTCGAAGATCATCGATGAGTTGGGACGAGATCGAGGCTCGTGTCCATGGTGGCTGTCGGATCGATGGCGGCTCGTTCTGATGGTGATGGTTCTCGTGGTGGGTCCCGACGATGAACAAGAGGACACTCAAGTACTTCAGCGCACGCTAGGAGGCAGGCAGGCAGGCAGGCAGGCCCGCCAGCCAGCCCGCATGATGCGCAGGACTCAGTTGCTGGGTGGGAATCTGCAACTTGAACAGGAGGAGCGATGGTTGTGTTGGTTGATGAAGTAGCATTCGAGCGGACGAGAGCTCCGTCCTGTATCGTCGCTGCACGAGCATTCGCCAGGCCGGCTTGCTCTGGGCTGTCTGTCTGTTCGTCTGGCTGCTCGGTCAACTCGTACATCGATTGCGCGGTGCGCTCTTCTGATTGATTGAGTGAGGTGAGGCGGAGGTCGAGTGCTAGGGAAACCTCACACGCTCCCATGCTCAATCGCGTCTGCGAGTCAAGCTTGCGTTTGTTTGGTCGTTGCGTTCTTCGCTAGGTGTTGTGTTCTGCAAATGATTGCACCCTCGCGGCAGATTGCTTTCGCGCGAGTTCTTGTCTTGAGCAATAAGCTTGGCATGCGGTCTCGATATTTGAATACGGTCTCCGGGCCTGAGAGGATGCCGAGCCATCATCGGCCGATAGGGTCTCTAGGGTGACACGAGAGAGCTGCCAGTGACAGAGGTGGGATTCCATGCCGCCTCGAGGGCAAGAACGGGGAGGGCCGTCTTCTTGGTCGGGCTGAAGCCGCCGATCGACCCGTTGGCCGGTTGTACGTCATGGTTTACAAGACAGGAGCAGAGGGATGGAGGGAGCGAGTCAGTGAATCGTGATCAGGAGGAGGAATTGCGATGAGAACGGCTTCGTTTCGTTGGCCGCTGGTGGCAATGGGAGTGGAAAGCCATCGTAATCGGGACGAGCAGTCATTGCAACCAATGGGTCTAGATTAGTAGTGATCGAGGAACGAGACGAGGAAGTGAATTGGCTTGAACCAGGACGATGATGCGCGGTGGCGTGGGCAATGTGGTGCTTGCACCCATCTCGGAGGTGCTGGCGAGGTTGCTCGTGCAGGCTGCGAAGACTGTGCTCGCAGCCAAAGATGTGCTCATCGAACGCGAGAGTTTCAATGAGCTTTCGAGCTACCTGGAGAGGCTGAGGCCCATCTTGGGTGAGCTGTCGGAGCGTAGTACGAATGATACGCCGACCATGAGGACAGCTTTGGAGTCCATTGAACAGCAGTTAAAGGTGGCAAAAGACCTCATGGCTAACTGCAGCAACAAAAGCAGATTCTATCTGCTTATGCGGTGTAGAACCATCGTCAAGCAGATTCAGGATGTCACTCGAGAATTAGGCCGGTGTATAAGCATGCTGCCTATGGCCACTCTGGATGTGTCGTTGGAAACTCGCCGAGAGACCGAGGAGTTGATGAAAACCATGGGAGAGGCTCAGTTTCATGCAGCAGTTGCAGAGGAGGAAATTATTGACAAGATCGAGAGTGGTATTAGGGATCGCCAAACCGATACCGATTATGCAAACGACCTTCTTCTGCAGATTGCTAAGCATGTCGGAGTGTCGGTTGAACCTCAAGCCTTAAAACAGGAACTGAAAGAGTTCAGGAAGGAAAAGGAAGAAGCTCTACTTCGTAAGAATCAGGCAGAGGCAGTGCAGCTGGAGCAGATAATTGCTTTGCTCAGCAGAGCCGACGCCGCCACTACGGCAACCGAGAAAAACGAGATTTACATGAAAAAGAGAGGTTTAGGTGGGGGAAGCACGCTTCCCCCACTATTCTCCTTTTACTGTCCAATAACAAGGGAGGTGATGGACGAACCTGTCGAAATAGCATCTGGCCAAACATTTGAGCGGACAGCAATTTTAACTTGGTTCAAATCTGGAAATCGGACTTGCCCAATTACCAAAGTCGAATTGGAAAATTTAGAAGTGAAGCCTAACCAAGCTCTACGTCAGTCAATCGAAGAATGGAGGGAAAGAAACACTGCCATCAGCATCTCAGCTATAGGACCCAGACTTCGCTCCGGTAAGGATCAGGAGGTTTCCGATGCTTTACAAGAGCTTCACAAATTGAGTGAAGAGAAGGCGCAGCACCGGTATTGGATAGCTAGTGAGAACTTGATACCTGTCTTAGTAGATACATTGAAGAATGGGAACCGCAGCGTCAGGACCCACTCCCTCGCAACGTTGAAGAGCATTTGTGTCAACAACGATGACAACAAGGTATTTATTTGTTTCGGGATGCCTACTAGATTGTCGCAGGAGTCATTGGTCACACTTTTTCTTTGAACGAGCTACTTGCACACGGGTTACTGAGATACATCGGGCGGTTTTTTTGGGTGAGATCAGGAGGCTGTTGCAGAAGCAGGTGCGATAGAGATGGCTGTGAGGTCCCTTGCACGGGATGTTGTAGAGGGCGGACAAGCAGTGGCCTTCTTGTTGGAGATATCCAGAAGCTCAAAAATCTGTGAGAAAATTGGGAAAGTTCAGGGTTGTATCTTGCTTCTGGTAACAATGCTCAACTGCGAAAATCCGCACGCAGTTGAAGATGCGAAACAGCTGCTTGAAAATTTATCGAACAATGATCAAAATGTTGTTCAGATGGCTGAAGCAAATCACTTCCAGCCTTTGGCTCAGCGATTAACTGAAGGTGAAAATTTCACTGCATTCCGTACCCGCATTCAATGTTCTATATAGCTGGCGGGAAACTTTGTTTATAGTTATCAGTGACACTTGAATTTGCCGATTGCCGACAGGATTCGGGTCAATTGCAGTCAACCTTTCGCCCAGCCTTCTAGACCTCCCTCTCCCAGCACATTGTTCTTTTACATTACGTTGAATCTATAGTATTTTGTTAGAAGTCCCTAGGGCTTTTGGAGCCTTTGAGAAGTTTAGTGATCTCGTCGAAACCCTTGACATTACCATACAAAGAATAGCAGCCCTGAAATCAGAAGGTCCAAAACCTTGAGTGCGAGAGGTGGGGACTTTATCCAACAGCCGGTGTTTCACGCGCTTACCTTCGTGTACTGTATTCTTTCGAGAAAAAAAAGTTTCATATATGCTTTGTGCAAAGAGCTTTTGCGAACAAACTTGTTTGGTTTTCCCAAGCTAACCTGAATTCTCAGCTCGATAGTCTTGTATGTGGCAGGTGCGGACATGACGAAGATATTGATGGCGAGTGCTTTGTCTAGGATGCAACTTACAGATCAAGGCAAGGCAGCGCTTGCCAAAAGAGGAGCGATATCCCCTCTAGTGAAAATGGTTGGCACGGGAAAGCTTGAGGCGAAGACTGCTGCCCTGGGTGCTCTGCAGAATTTGTCGACTCTTGCCGAAAACAGAGATTACCTGATTAATGCCGGAGCAGTACCTCCGTTACTTCAGTTGCTGTTTTCAGTTACATCCGTCGCCATGAGTTTGAAGGAGACCGCTGCCGCAACTCTAGCTAACATAGCCAAGTCCAGCACCACAGCTGAGACCAAGATAGATACAAATGGCAACATATTAGAATCGGACGAGACCATTTATCAAATACTATCACTTTTGAACCTTGCGGGGCCTGTGATCCAAAGTCATCTGCTGAGGGCGCTGTTGGGAATGTCCACTTTGCCTGCAGCCATTTCAGTTAGGAACAAGCTTAGAGCGGGTGGTGCCATCCAACTTTTACTGCCATTTTGTGAAGCAGCCGATGTGGAAGTACGAGTTAATGCCGTAAATTTGCTGTACTGCATATCTGGGGATGGACACGGGAAGGAAATGTCGGAGCACTTGGGACCTACGTATATAGAAGCGCTTGTACAGCTTCTGAACTTTTCGACTCGGGATGATGAGAAGGCAGCTGCCATGGGCATCCTTGAGAATCTACCTTCATCTGACTTCCATCTTACCCAAGTTCTGCTGGATGCGGGGGCCTTACATGCCATATGTAATCTTCTGACCGTAAAGAACACGAACACCTCCACTAGGTTCGTTCGCAATCAATTGCTGGAAAACACGGCCGGTGCTCTCTTACGCTTCACTGGTGCTCACGAGGATAATCTCCTGAAGACAGCAGCCGAGCTAGATGTTATTCCCAAGCTTGTACAACTCCTGGTGGCCGGAACGCCTCTGGCGAAACAACGTGCGGCTATGGCGTTGAGTCAGTTCGCAGAGTGCACTAGAAGGCTGACTGTTCCCATCGCTAGTGATCATGCCTGCTTTTGGTTGGGATGTATTCCTTCCAAACTAGAGCCAGGTTGCATTGTTCATTCTGGGCGTTGCTCCGTCAAAGGATCCTTCTGTTTGATTGCAGCCGAGGCCCTGGTTCCCCTTGTACAGACTCTAGAGGAGAGGGAAGATGGTGCAGCAGAAGCCGCTCTTGGGGCTCTGAAGACGCTGCTACTCGGTGAACATGGCGAGAAAGGAGCTGTGGCAATAGCAGATGCTCAGGGAATACTTCCCATCATAAGAGTATTGACGGTCGGAACGCCAGGGGCAAAGGAGAAGGCGGTCTCGATTTTAGAAAGGATATTTCGGATAGAGAAGTACCGAGTGGCTTATGGCAGTCAAGCCCAAATGTCTTTGATTGATCTTACTCAAAAGGGTTCAATAACAACGAGACCTGTAGCTGCCAGGATTTTAGCTCACCTTAACGTTCTACACAATCAATCTACTTACTTCTAGGTGTAGTTGTAGCTGGTTTGGTCATTGTATTTAGCCAATTCATCGTGTGTACAATACATATGTCTGAGTTTTCAGACCATCAGCGTTTCGCTTTGTTGCCCTGTGCACCTCGTAGATGAGCATCATATTCCATTTCACTCTCGGTGGAGGAGGTTGCCCTGCGTTGGGTTGCGGGTTGCTGGGTAAGACAGAATCATATACGGCATTAGCCGACCTGCAAACCAAGAATACTCTACTGAACCTGTAGCGCTCAATTCTTTTCTTCCCATGGCCAAGGCGAAGAGGAAGAAAAGGTGATCACGAGTCATTGGATTTGAATTCGAGTTGAAAGTTTCGTACTGTACAAATGTCCCGTACGCCTCAAAATATCAGGCTCTTGTCTGGAGAGTCAGTCTCTGTGTCTTCTGTTGTTTTGTTAAGTCTGACGTGTCGAGGGGGAGGAAATACCAAGCTTGTAACACATGTTTCGCCCATTTCTTGCCGTCGCTCAGTGTGTCGAATATATGAAGAATGGAAAGAGAGGTGTTACGTGGCGCCGCAGCTGAACATGGTTGACAAAATTGGGTCATGGGCCATCCATGTTGACTCAGTCAACGGGGACTCGCTTTGAAGGGATGAAGAACTTCACGAAACAGGTGTTATCTGCCTGCCATACTGTCTTTCCGCTTGTGCAATCAAACTCGCTCTACGGTACCTCTTACCTCTCTGTCCTTTGTATGTTACCTCATACTTGAGTTTATCAAAGGTTCTGATCGAATCATCTTTTATTTGCAGGCTGGATTTGATACAGGATAATTTTTGGGTTGCTCGACAATGGAGGGGATTTACATGCTTGTAGTTGTGTAGGTGTGAGAACCGAGAACCATACCCGAAGACATGATCACATAAAGGATTCAAACATATGTCTCATCAAAGATGAGACATCACGTGTGTAAACAAAGTAACCATGTTTTGCTTGACGCCGCACGTCCTTCAAGCAACAGTTTCTTGTAAACAACGCGACTTCACGAAGTGTGTTTCTCCGACTTCTTCGTTTTGTTTTCATCCATCTTCCACAACTTTTGTCGCCTCTTCTTTTTTCTCTCATCTACATTCCTTCTCGTCCTTAACCTTTTAAAGTCAAGGCCAACTCCTCTACTTGTACTGGAAATTGTTTCCATTTTCATGTAATTCATATTTTTCCTTCCTCTGTTCCGTCCTCTGTTGCTTTTGATAGGGCTCACTTTCTAGGAATCATGAAAGAATTCTGAAATGCAATTTAATTGCATTTAAGAGCTCATTCATCAAACCTTGTGATCTGAACTCCAACGTTTCTATGCATCTCGATGAGCTTCGCTAAATTCTTTACCTCTGCATGTCGTAGGCTTTGTATCGTCATATGTGTATCGTCAATACACGTCTCTCGCATCCTTATTTAAGCTCTCAACATCGTCCTTGAATTCGGCCTTCCGAAGCACACGAATTTGATTTCTGCCTCGACTGAGTAACAGTTTCAGTGTCCATAGTGCTTCCATCATACGTCAATCGCACTTTCATATACGATGTTCCAAATTTGATGTCACCTATCCTTTCAACAATGTTGCATTGATCCCCAACCAACCCCACCATAGACTTTACCCCATAGCGACGGGAAGTAAACTCTCGTCTCGATATGCTCCTCACGAATGTTTTAATACGACTTCAAAACTATGTACTGCTTCAGTGTTACAATCAAGCCACATGAAAGTTTACAGTTGCAATTGCTTTGCAGGCCGTTAATGACATTTCACACTCCAAGCTACCACCAATCTGTTCAATGTCCATCGCAATCTATTCTGAAACCCTCAAGGCTACATTTAAATGCTCGAGTTTTACAAGCGAAGGCGCATGATGCACGGGCTGTAGAATCACGGTAGATTCCTTGATTTATCCTCAACCCCTTTTTAGTCCATTGCGTAACTTTATTGTGTTCAAAGATTAAGTGAGTAGACGTTTCTTTTGGGGTTGTAAAACGCACAATCGATGCAAAACAGTTTGACTTTCGAGTGATATTTGGATTTTAGAAAATCAATTATCAAAGAATGGATATCGTGCAACTCAGTATCGCCATACATCATACATCGTTGACATGCTCTACTCACACATACATACACAAGGAATGAGAGTGTCCACACACAAAAGTATCATAAATAAAAATGTTGAAACCCAAATACACCAAGAGTCGAGCCAAACCCACGACTCGCAAGTAGAATAAAGGTCGAAGCTATGGGGATCAACCCCGACGCGAAAGTCTCAACTTGAAGAACTGACAGTTCTTCGAGTTCGCCTCCTATAAAACCCGAGCCCGTCGACGTCCAAACGTGCATGGCGGTCCCAATGTGCAGGGCGTCCCAACGTGTACCGCGTCGTCAAACTCAAATCGACCTGTAAGACCGGGTGTTGCACATATGTACTAAGTCTTAGAAGTGGTCAAGGGAATAAGGATGATTAGCCAAGGCATAGCTAAGACTAGCTAGTTATGACTAAACTAGTTAGTTATAACTAAGTTTATCTAGTCATGACTAAGTTTAGCTACAATGTCTATAGTTGGCGGAATAATTAGCGGAGTTCTAGAAGAATGGAGTGAGCACTTCTATTTTGTCCTTTACAAGGAGTGAGCACTTCTATTTTGTCTTATACAAAAGTTCTAGATTCCAAGGGATTAGATATTTGACTAGAAGCTTGGATTTGATTGGTTTGACTAAATGTATGAAAGATGATTGGCTAGACTAAGTCTAATGTTGACTTAGTGGCTAGGAAGCTTGTAGAAGTTTAAAAGCTTCAAATGGCATGTCGCCACCTCAACCTTGGATTCCAGAAGCTTCTAGAAGGTTTAGGTAGGCCAATGGCATGTTGCCACGTAGAGAAGGTTAGTCAAACTTACCTAGGTAAAAGTAAGTTAGGAGAAATTACCACATGTTACTATGGTAACTTCTCAAGTAGTATAAATAGAGAGGTAGAGTAGCACCTCTCAAGCAAGTTTGGAGAGTCATGTGTGAGGACTTGTTTCAGTAATGAAGGAGTGAAGTTTTTGAGTATCTTGGAGTATCGACGTGTGTTTGCATTTATGTGAAGAGGGTGATGTGAGGAGAGTTGTGTGTGAGTTGGAGTGATACATGAGAGTTTGTAAGAGAAGGTGTTTGGGACATGAGTGAGAGTATGAATCTTAGTCTTCTAGAACCATGATGCGCTACCACAAAGCCATCAGAGGTAAACCTGAGTGAGAGTCAGCCCGGAGGTTGCATTTTTGGTTCCGTTGCCGGGACCTCAATCTAGAAGGCGGAATGTTTAGGATTCGATTTCTAGCTCGAGAGAAAGTATCCATGAGGGATCACTTGGTGTTAACATTGGGGAATGAAAGAGCGGAGAGTGTGCTTGAGAGCGAAATTCCATTTGTTTATCCCATAGTCTCATATGATAGCCTAGAAGTGATTTTGTATGTTTTGTTCACGTAAACATGTCTTTTTGAGAGAAAAGTGATCTTAGACACCGAAAAGTATTTTTGAAGGTATTCTTCAAAGTTTTTATTGATTTTAGAGTGAAAGATAGAGAAAATTTACGTTTTTGTTTCAGGTCCAGATCATGTGTTAACAGAAAGATATGAGAGTTAGAAGTTGAGTGGGTTTTCACGGGTATCAAAAGTCTGCTCTCTGGAAAGTTTGTACAGAGTTGATTACTTTTTGTGTATTTCAATTTAGGCTTTGAAACTTCGTACGAGTGTGTATTGGAAGATAAGCTACGTTTGAGTCAAAATTTCACTGAGAGATCACGTCTAGAGACGAAGTTATGTTGATTTGAAGTTGAGGGGGTACAAAAGCAAGATAACAAAGCAAAAGTTTTTGATTTCTTTATTCACAGTTTTCGTCAAGTAGATAGCGTTTCTGGGAGAGGTCTTTTGAGTGGTTTCTACCTTATGGGAAAATGAGTGAACAAGAAGGTTGGAAGGTTAGGTTATCCAAAGTACCTCAAGGCTTGGATGTTATAGTGTCTTTAGACTCCAATACAAGAGAATTCAAGGTGGAGTTTGAAGAAAGAGTAGTGAGTCAATCTCCAAGAGTCAAACGTGAAACTTGTTTTTATTGTGGAGAGGAGGGCCATAAGGTTGTCAATTGTTCCCTGCGGAACAAAGATAGAAGATTGAGGAGCAAGAGGAACTTGGGAGATTTGAAACTTCACTTGGGACCATCATCGCCACATGAATCCCAAAGCGCCACCTTCTGTGACAATTGCGGAGTGATTGGGCTACCAGCGGGACACGAATGCAGCGGAGTGAAGGCACTTCTGGAATCACTTGTGGAAGGGTTTGACGGCAAGCTAAGTGCTGAAACAGAGAAAGTGACCTCAGCGGGTTCAAGCTCCAACTGAAGATGGAGATCATCATTCGAATGATGGAGAAGATGATGATGAGGGTAAGACTCATCGTATGCCTAGGAGAGGAGAGAGCTTTGGCTATCTTGGAACAACCAATTCCTTTTGTGTTTCCTTTGATGAATTACTCAAGGATGGAGTTAGTGTTGTTTATATTGTATTAGGAAGCCCCATATAAATTTCCAATAGAAAAAAAAAAAAAAAAAAAAAAAAAAATTAGTTGGAAATGGGGAAGCTTCCGGTATTTTATGGGAGGGAGAATGAGGATGTAGAAGCTTTTGTTAGGGACTTCAAGAGGGCTTGCATAGGAAACAATGAGAGGAAGAAAGACGAGTGGGCTATGCTTTTGCCGGATTTCTTGGAGGATTCTGCTCTCAAGTGGTACAAGGAGTACAAGAGGGAGCATTCGGAGGACGACACGTGGGAGACATTAACGGAGAACCTGATCGAAAACTTTCTTCCCAGTGAAAGTTATGAAAAGTTGATGTGTGAGGTCACCTTCTTGAAACAAGGAGAGAACGAGAAGGTGAGGACCTATGTGGAGAGAACCGAGAAGTTGGAATCTAGATTCCACGTGGTGTTGAGGAAGGGCGGAGACGAAGTGGATGCTACAATGGTGGGGATAAGGGCGATGCTCATGAAGAACTTCGTTGGAGGTTTGAGACCAGAGATTCGAAGTAAGGTGAGATACGAGAAGCCCTCTTCTAAGGCTGAAGCCATTCGAATTGCTATTAGAATGGAGGAGAGCTTAGAAGATGATGATTCTAGCTTGGTGGCTAGAGAAGTAGCTCCACCGGTTGTAGGAAGGTCTATTGTTTCAAACACTTCTACTTCATCCACGATAGCGAATCCTAGTGTGGATTTTCAAAATGAGTTGAAATCTATCACGGAGACTCTAGCAGATCTCAAGATCAATGTAGTACAGTTGTGGGAGAAGAGGAATCAGAACGTAGTAGGAGGCTCTAGGGGGTATGGAAATTATCCTCCAAGAGGAAATCCACCTTCAGGAAACTTTGCGGTTTCTTGCTTTTCTTGTGGAGGTCCTCATTTTCAGAGGAATTGTCCTAACCCTCGACAACATGATGGAGTTCGGCACAACAACAATGCACCGGCCACGCAACAAGCCAAGGATAAGGGAGTAGCATCCATTGATGTATTCCCTCATCAATGCACTTTTGAGAAAGGGGAGAGCTCAAAATCGAAAGTGGATATCCTTGCTCATGAGAAGAAGCGGGCCCGATTTGCGGACGAGTCGATTTTCATGGAGGACACGCCAAGTCGAAGTACACGGTCAAGTGGAGTGAGTCAACCAAGAGTACCAAGGAAGAAGTTGGGCATGGATGACTTTTCCATTTCATCTTCTCAAGCTAAGTATGACGTGGTGGAGGATGTAGGAAATCAGAAGGCCAATATAACAGTTGGTCAGCTGATTGCCTTGAATCCAGCCATTCGGAAGGAGTTAAGAGGAGGTCTTATCTCCACAAGGACCAAGAAGCGGAAATCTAAGGGGAAGGCTCACATGACCAATGTGGGAGTTGGGGTGGTGGATGCGGCTGCTTCGGAGGTATGTACACATGCTTCAAAGATCGAAGTGAGGATCAATGGACATGATGTATCAGATGTGTTGGTTGATGGTGGATCGGCTGTGAATGCCATGTCTGAGAGGTTGATGCAGAAGTTGGGTATGCAACCTTCTAGACCTTCTAGCATAATTGTTGGTATGGCCAACAAACAGAAGGTAAGACCACTGGGGGTGGTAGACAAAGTTGTGGTTAGTGTGAGGGGAGTGCAAACTTTGCTTTCCTTCCAAATTCTCAAGGAAGCTAGCTACGACTTGCTGTTGGGACGTCCTTGGTTGAGGGCGGTAAGGACTACGGACCGATGGCACAAGGGCTATTTGAGGATAGGC